ATGGGTCAGTGTGGACAGAAAAAAAAGGGAGGGAGAAAGACAAATCCTGAGTCAGCCATTTTAGATTGGGATATTGACCCATGGTGCCATCTTACAAATGATTGTATTAACAGAGCCAATTAAACTGGAAATCATTTTATGGCTGCCTATAGAGGCACGCAAGATTGGAAAGTTTGTCAGGTGAATCACCAACCAAAATTACATTAAAAGCTACCTTAAACTTATTGCTGTAATTTTTGTACAACACCCAAAACATTAATTCCTGCAACCCGAACAACCATTTCACTTGTTCCTGCCCTCGATAGGACTGTTTCTAGAATTAGGGTCCCTACCATCAACAGGAGATATGCCACAGATAAACCTAAAAAAATTTAAACAAACATCTAACCCTTTTATGATGTAACAAAGCAATGTAAAAGGTTTGGTTAGATTTAAATAACTTGGTAGGCTCAGGGAAAGTACTTGTGGTCATAGTTAAAACAACACAGCACTTTCGCTGTTAAACTGGAAGCAAACAGCAACGTTCTATGTTAAAATCTAATGTTTTGTTGACTCTACCACCCACCCTGACCTCCTTCCTTCAATGGACTTTGTTGCTCTATAACGACTATACCTGACTTCCTCCTGCCATAATTACTACAACCATTACAGGGCACTGTAACTTGAATGTAAACGTTGTGTTGGTGCATTTGCTGAAACTACTGATAGTGTGTTAAATAAATGCTAAAGGTTATAACATAACTACTGCCATAATAAATTGTATACACAAATGGCCGCTGGGGTTCATTTTATGAGAAGACAGTCTTCACAAAACAACTGTGTTGTTAACTAGCAGAGGGAGCAGTGGCCTCCTGCTCTGTGGAACATGGAAACAGGAAGTGGTGATGCTACATGATGAGTCATGTCTAGGTAAAATGCAAATTGAGTGCTTAACATTCCTCTTTAAAGTAGTGTGTAATTTGTTTTTAGGTTTTACAAGACACAATAAGATAACTTCAGAGGAAAATGTAGGCCTTTTGAGCAATGCTCTTAAAACACTTTTTTTCACACAGGAAAATTAGGTCACAAGAGGGAGTCGTTGCACTGTGCAGTAGTAGTGAGTTGGTCTTTTTGTTTCTAGTTTTACTTTGAGTTTTACCATTTTTCACTGTAGTGAATAGTAGTTTTCTGTATGTTGCACAAACTCCATCAATGGGTTCCAGTTTCCTATAACAGGAAAAGTAATGGAGCTGGCTTTCAAGTCTGGGCGTATTTGTGCAGGTGAAAACATGGAACTTCACTGCTGCATCTGCATTGAAAACACAATTGTGTATGCCGCTCATTTTAAACAGGAAGAATATGTGTCCTGCCATATAATGGAGTTTGTGATGGGATGTCGAACCCAGAACCATGTGAGACTGACAGCTGGTGTGATTTCTTCTGCTTCATCAGTTCCACTGTCAGCAACAGCTCCTCTTGAACTATGCACACCAAGTCTTGTTTTCTAAAGATTACTAACTTCCACGTTTGTAGGAATAATAATTTAAATCACAAGAAGCAAAACAGCCTAAGTATTTCTCATTGTAAGGCAGCATGCCAATCCTGTACAGGTTCTCACTTCTCCACTGAATCTCCTCACACAACAACTTTTTTCACGGATTATTCGTATTTTTCCTAATCCTTGTCTGTTCCTGGCTTATCTCTTTGATGCCTAACAGGCTTACTAGTATGAGGCTGTGGTCATATTTTCAACCTTTTCTGTATCAAAAAATAGCATAGTGATCCATATTTTTCATGGTTAAATTTGACCTAGCTCGGCTGTGCTCCCTTTGTGACATCATGTTCAAATGGTCTTTTATACTTTTGTGAGTGGTGCATATAACTGACACCTGCTGCACTTTAGTGACACGAACCACTCCATTATTTTTTACATGAATAACAACTCAAATATTGTTTACTATCCCTTTTTCCTCTCAGAACTGGCTGCTTCATTCTTAAAAACAGGCACTGTGATATAGTGGTGTCATAAGAAACAGACTGACAGCGGTTTAAATGTGTGCTCTCCATTTTCTCTATTGAAACAAGCTCAGACAAACCAACGAAATAGAACAACAGCAGATAAAAGAAATAAAGGGTCTTGCCTGAGAACTAGGAAACAGAGGTTCTTTAGAAAACATTGCTATAGACAGTAGTAGCCTTATGGTTTAACAAAACACACCTTACCCAGTGTGACCACAGACACATACAGTAGAAAGACATCAAATCTGATCTAAACAAAGTTAAAAATGTGTCTTGTCATATAAAATGTTCTCAATGTCTAACCCCATCTGCTGATATACTGTGTAGC